GTAAAGATTACTGAGGGTTGCAATCCGTTGCCGGACACGGAAAAAAGACAAAAAGACAAAAAAAAAAAAAATACACTAGTATTGGCTTATTTCTTTATACCACAAAAATTGATACGTAAGTTAAAATGCAAAGCATTTGCTTCCAGTTTTTACAGGAAGAGAAACATTTGAGAAACAAAATATTAAAAAATACACTAGTATTGGCTTATTTCTTTATACCACAAAAATTGATACGTAAGTTAAAATGCAAAGCATTTGAAACATTGCTGGAGACACCAACTTATGACATAAGAATATGAAAGCCTCTGTTAGCCTTAACATAGATTTCCCAGGCTGGTGTCTGTATCATGCCAAAATGTAATTGGAAAATTAAATTTGACCCACTCTGGTCCTAGCTAACTGAAAATGGCAGGCATAATGCAGTGGAATTGATTTCATGTATCAGTCCCTGAAAAGCATGTGAAGTGGCAGTTCTAAGATGATGCTGTAGTCCCATTAGTGGGATTACTTGTGGCAGCTGCAGATGAGTGCAGGCACATATTTTACATTCTGCTGACCAGCAGGTGACATTCAGCCATATTCAGACCAGAATGTGCTCTTCTCAGACAGAAGGCAGACTGGCCACCTTCGGCCTCCTGCTTCATCTGTCTCTGTCAGTCGGCAGGACGGACATCTACGTCTCTGTGGACACAGTCCCATAGGGATGTGCTATTAGGACCCCCTGGAAGGGACAACTTCAAGGGTAATGGGTACCGGTACCCTGATCAGCAGTTCCTAGGCATGTGTCCTTCAGGGATTGTTAAAGGGTGGTGGGTGGGAAGCAACATGGAGATGCCAACTTTCTGTATCATTAGGTAAAAATATTAAAATGAACACCAAGAGAAATGAATACCCAGACTGGGATATATCCATACAATGGGACGCTATTCAGCAATAAAAAGAAAATTAGTCATACTCAAATACATAGGTGAATCTCCAACACATCATGTAAGTGAAAGCAGCCAGACAGAAGATCAATGCTGCACGATTCCATCTCTACAGCATGCTGGAACAGACACATCTGGAGCTGTAGAGAGCAGATCAGCACATGCTGGAGGCTGGATGTGCAGGCTGACTGCACAGGGGCACGAGAAACTTTCCGAAGTGACTGAAGAGTTCTCAGTCTTGACTGGGGGGCTGGTTACATGGGTGCATACGTATGTCAAAACTCCAACTATACTCAAAAGGTGTGCATTTCATTATACAACTTATACCTCAACAAAATAGATTTAAAAAATTAAATGGGACCAAACAGCAAAAACCTATCTACTTATCTATTCTCACAGTTATTTGATAAAAGAAAGTTGTTTTTAATCCCCCCAAATGAAGTAGATATAGAAGAGAGTTCTTTTGAATTAAATATATTTTAGTTTAATAAAAAGCTCTATTATTCTCATTTTAAAGACCAATGGTGGAAACTGCCTCAGGACCCATCAGGGATCAGAGGATGAACATTTGGGAACCCTGGCTGTCTCCCTGCCCTGCCCCCAAATTCCACTCCCTGTACCCTACCTGGAACATTCCCTTAATGGGCTTATGACTACGCCATTTGGCAATGACCAGAACAAATTGGAGCTACCAAATTGGGGATTAAAATGAAAACAGCCAGAAAGAAGGAATGATTAAATGACTGATAAGTCCTACTTGAGGAAGGGTGGGCAGAACAGGGTAGTAAACAGAGGGGATAAGGGGGGTGTGGGGGAAGCTCACAGAGGAGAACCGGCAGCCGCCCCTTGCCTGCTGTCTCTCCCAGGCGCTCTCGGGCCTGCCTGCCCAGTGAGTGGAAAATGGCAGCAAGTGGACCCTGGGGTGTTCAATGAGCTGGCCCCCTGGGCCCCTCAATGAGCTGGCAGTGACCACCAGCAAGCCATACAGTGAATAGGGGTCCTACAACAGGGGGGCATCAAGCCCCTGCCCAGCTGGTCACAGAGGGCACGGCACCTCAAGGTATGTACTCAGGACCCCAAAAGACCTTTAAGACCATTGTGCAGGACAAAGAAAAACAAAAATAACTTTTTAAAAAGAGAAGTAGAAAAGATTTCTCAAAAGTATATAGTAAAATGACATAAAACATCTTTTTAAGTTAACATCAGATTTTTCTTCAAAGAAGCCTAAAACTAAGGAGAATAGCCTGTTTTAAAAATAATACTTTTCACATTAGCCTTCTTTAAGCTACTCGCTCAAGAATTTAGTAGTAGCCAAAATAATCACAGGTGTGCCTATTTGTTCTAGAAAACATGGCCTATGCATAAAATGTACAAATGATGGATGGAAGGTTGACACACAATTTTTAAATTCAGAATGCTGAGGGTGAACTAATAATTAAAAAGGAAAACAAACAAACAAAAAACCCCCAAAATTCTCATAAAGATATAGCGGCACGTTGAAAATCATTGAGGGAATTTCAAGGGTAAAATCTCACTCATTCCCTAAACCTTTTTATTTTTATTTATTTTTAAAAACGAACACTTGCCCAGCACTTATTATATGGCAGGTACTATTTCAAGCACTTTACGTACATAAACTCACTGGAGTATACTCCTCTGGACAGGATGTCTAGGCACCCAGAACTGTTCCAACAGCTATCTTTGCCCTGAGCCAGGCCACTTTGTTCCGTTAAGAGGAGGGACAGTATCTTCTTCACACAATGTCTGTTGCCAGTTCTAGGCGCTCATACCTCCGTGACAGGGTGTCTCCACAGGAGTGGAGGCCCTGGGCACACCTACCTGTAAAACCATCAGAGACCCTTCCTAAAGGGAGAACTAGGAAACCTGCAGGCTAATGCTAAGAGTCCATTCCTGGCGCTAATGATTACAGCACCGAGGATAAGCAGAAAAAGAAAGCAAAACAATGACATGCTTCCAGAACTTGCTTTGATAAATCTGAAACAAGCAGAACTCTTTGGATTTGGATTTTATGTATTTTGAGTGAAAGTCTCGACTCTGTAAGGCCTCATATAATTTTCTCTATTCAGTTTTGACCGTAGCATCTTCATGATTTTTGCCAGATCTGCATACAACCTGGACTATTACTTATGTGTAATTTTTATTTAAATCAACTCAGTTTAAAAAAATTCAATACCTTCTTTATCTAAGTTCCACACATAAATCAATTTAATAGTTATGCTTCATTAACACATTTATCTGTTAAAGTAAATATATCCATGTACCAACTAAAATCAGTGCATGTCCTTCACTGCTGTGAGTTCTATGCTTTGGAGAATTCACATTCTGAGCTGGTGAAAGCCAGACTTCATCCCCATAATTCAAAAACATGGAAATAATACAAACACACCTTCTGAAATTGTTTTTATACACATATATCACATTATATATATGTACAAATGGAACTCTACACAGACACACACAGAGACACACAAAATTTAGAATGGTTGAGAACAAATGAAAAGAAATTGAGCAGGAATCAGGCATTAGGTCAGGGGCAGTGGGAAGTAATGGACCAAGGACATGAGGTAACATTTTAATAACAAACCACAGAATCTGGGGCTGGCTGGTTGCTCAGTTGGTTAGAGCACAGCCAAAAAACCCCAGCAAAAGAAAGAAACCATAGCATCCGATCAGTAAAGTTAGAAACAATAGCCTCATACAGCCATCATGCCTTCTCAACACAACCTCACATATATAAATTAATGCCCAGTTGTTTTTTTTAAAGAAAAACTCAGTATACAGAAATAAAAATCTAAAAACCTGACTAATTAGAAAAGAAGTGTTTTATGCTGTTTCTTCAGGAAAATAAGGAATGTGCACACCTGAAAGGACAGATCCCCCAGAGCCTGGGGGCTCCCCTGAGGTGCCACAGGAATGGGGAAGGTGGGGACGGTGGCTACGGGCTCTTCCCTCCCCTTACAGCAGCTGCAGGCTCACCTGCTTTCTACAGTGTCCTTCCTCAAAGATATTCTTTGAACAAACAGGCTTCTCCGGTAAGACGAAATTTGTAGACCAACTTTCCAATTGTCCCATTTCCTTATTTTACCAATGAGGAAACTAAAGCTCAGAGAAGTTAGAAGACTTCAGGTCACTCAGCAAACCACAGCAGAGTCAGAATTTACAGAACTCAGCATCCAGATTTCCAGTCTGGTGTTTATCTGAACAAAACCACCTCAAGGAATAACCTAACACATCCATATAGGTGATCCTGGTGGACTTCATGACATCAATACCCTTGCCTATCCTTGAAAATGAAGCGTGATTTGTCATTAATTCCTTAGGGAGGGGATGATGGCCAGCAACATTTAAGTGTTATGAGTCAATGGAAATAAATTAGTAATAAGATGAAGTCACTACTTTGGAAAGTATGATGTAAGAAAACAGGTACATCTCTTCCTGAAAAGTTGTTATAAATCAAATATTACCTGAAACTTCCTAAATTAATAATATAGGCAAGTTTCCTAATCAATAATAAAAACAAAAACCAAAACAGCCATAGTGATAACAGCAATATCTATAATTCCTTTTTTATTATATCCCAGCCACTGGATGTAGCATTTTACATGCATTGATATCCCTATACATAAATATTATTATTCTCATTTTTGTAGATAAGAAAATTGAACCTAAGCCCATGGGTAGGGTGACCAACTGTCCTGGTTTGCCCAAGATTGTGGGGTTTTCCAGGGTATGGAACTTTCATGGCTTAAATCAGTCAAGTCCTGGGCAACACGGGTGACCAAAGGCTGGTCTGTCACTGTACCTGTGGGGCCAGTAGGTGACAGAGCTTCCATGTCTGTCTGACTCCCCAACTACCATTCTCTTCTCTAGGGTCACTCCCTCCATGTGCTGCAGTCTTGAATTCCACAGACTGGTTTAAAGAAGGGCATGACCACTCTCTTGCAAAATAAAACACTTACATATAGCTTCATCACCTTTTACAAGAGAGACAGACAAAGCACTGCATAGCCTCAAACCACCGTGCCTCTGGAAGGGTAAAGAAGGGACACTTACCTTGACCTCAAACTCAAAGTGCTCGTCCTTTCCTTGCCCGCAGAGGACATAGCGTGGAATACTAATTTTAATTGGGTCCTTCAGGTCATCTGGATTTGCTCCCAAAGAGCGAGAAACCATCCGCTATCAAAGGAACATCAGACAGAGAACAAAGAGAAACTGAGATCACTCTGCTGCAAATACCCTGCTTGGGCAGGAGGGAGAAAATGTGCTTCAAGTAGAAAAAAAGGAGCATCAAACCAGTAGAGCTTATTTAGAAAAGTGATGTTTTCCTTTGAAAGAGAACTACTAAGCCTCTCTCATAACTAAAGCCCATTTCTTTAGGTATACCAGTCTGAGAAGTTAGGGCAAAAGCACTTCAAAAAGTTGTTTGGCTTTGAAGTTCCTTCCAGTTTATAAGAACAAGTGAAAACAGGGACAGATTACATATCCTGACTTAAAAAAATCAGTGTAAACTCGATTCCTTTCTGAAAAGTCCTGACTATCTGACAAACTTCTTTCATCACAGACTATCAGACTACATAAAACTGCAAATGCTGAAGATTTTATTCACATTTACTTCATTTTTAACTTTTGGCATTTTTATAAACCAGTGGAATGTGGAAAACTCTTTAAACTACAATTAAAACAAATCTCAAGTATTTTCTTTAGGCTCTATTTGATTAATAATCACTTTGGCTTTGACAAATATTAATGGTCTGGGTGGTGGGAAGCCCGAGGGGTCTGAGAAAGGGGAATTATGAAAAAAATAAATCTTCAAAATGAGTTCTCTTGAGTGTGAACAGGAGGAAATCTCGGAATAGTCCTTATTATTTGCACTAACCTGGGGCTTTAGAAACATAAAATATGTTTTTGAAGCAGTCGTAGTAACAAAATAATTAGAATCATAATTAGCATGTATTGAATACATACTGTATAGCAACAGCTGTGCTAAACAGTTTATATCCATTGGCTCATTTAATCCTCACACTCCCCCATGAGGTATCAAGCATTATTAACCCTATTTATCAGAGAGGTCCAAGACTGAGGGTGAAGTCACTTGATGAATGTCAGTGGGAGAGGAAGGATTTGAACGCAGCTAATGTAGAGCCCACCTTTGTCACTACTAGGCTATAGTGCTATCATGAAATTTTAAAATAATTTCATCCATCAGAGATAAATTTAGCTAATGAATGCTTTAAACATATAGATTTTAAGAAGCTGGAAACTCCATGATTATGCAGTGAAACACATTTATCTGACTATATAGTACTCCATGAATGTATACAATTATTATGGGTCAATAAAGGAAAAATAAATTAAACAGGAAAAAAAATTTTGGAGATAGAAAGAGATTAGAGGCTATTGGAAATGGGGGGGGGAGGGCAGGGAGGAATAATGAAAAGTTATTGCTTAAGGGGTACACAGTTTATGTTCAGGATGATTAAAAATTTTGGAAATAGATGGAGGCAGTAATCACAAGGCATTGTGAATGTAATTAATTCCATGCAAAGCGTAAAAATGCTTAAATAAGCATAAGGCAATCCTTATGATATGTATGTTTTATCACAATTTAAAAAAATGGAAAAAAAGGGGGGGGGGCAACAAGCTCCCTTCTCCCAGCTATAAGGTGTCCTGGACCTTTGGATCCTCAGCAGGTGTAACCTGGAAGGCCTAACCTAGCTGTATGTGTGAAGGCTCAGTCTTCTGTAAGACAGCAGAGATGGAGGATTTGTTTCCGATTGCTCCTTTCAATCTAGTTGACAGTGTGAACATTTTGGCATGATATGAAGTTACCAAAGCCTTTTAGAGCATCTTAATTTTTCCCCGAGTAGCTAGTCACCCAAAACAAGAATGAGTCATTGTTTTTCACAATGCTACGTCTATTTTGCTGTCCCTAATGTCAAAAACCATCAAGTAATTCTTAAATAGGGAGTTCCTCAATATGTGCAGTGCTAAAGGCTTTTCAGTTCACTGATGGTCCTTTCCAAATTACTTTAAATGTAAACATTTCCTGAAATGTGGAATATGTTTATCTATTTAAAGGTGAAAAATAAATTAGTGGTTTTATTTATAAGAATATATTTTAAGAAATGTCTTTGACCTACGAATGCCATGGTTTATAGATGAAGCTCTTGCTCTGCTGCCTGCGCACTTCTGTAACATGCAAAATAAGTATATTTTGCAAGTAAGAACATGATCTCTCTTCCAGATTTGACATGATCTCTTGTGGAACCAATTTGTTGTGTGTGCACGCACATGTGTGTGTTGGGAGTTGGGGGTTAGGAACTACAATGTAGTTAGGGACAACCTCAGCAGGGTAATGCTGCTGTAGGGATTTCAAGCAACAACTATCAACTGATAAGACTAGTTGAGAAAGAAAGATCCTCTTGTTCTTCCTTAAGAGGAAACTGGACCCTCCCTACCACTTAGAACAAAAGGCCAACACCTTGGCTAATCCGGTGAGCGGCTGTCTCTTACAGTTATAGGCTCCGTCCTAAGAGGTGAGGAAGAACAAAGGCAGGAAAGGAAGATAATCTTCTTCTTTTGACCAACAAGAAACAGCATTAATAAAAAACTCCTAATCCTCACATGACCTTGTTAAGGGATCATTATTAGCGTTCTTTCAAACTTATCTATTGGGCTTCTGTCACTTCAGGGACATGTTGTCATACATTTTTGCTGAGGGAGAGGACCTCAAATGCAAACTTCACATTTTTCACAGCTTTGCCTAGGGATACCTCCATTTATGTACTCACACCTTTCAAGATCATATGAATTATGAGGTTCTCAAAAAGGGGTGGATGACAATATCAACGAGTGTGACACACTTGGTTTTGAAACTCTATCTGGTTCCTTGAAGCAATCACAAAAAATAGACTTGGGATTCCAGGTGGTGTTGACTTCAGAGGCTCAGAAAGAGAGAGGGAGAAGACTTAGAACCCAGTCGTACCTCTGGGACAGTCACTTACCCTCTCTGTACCTCAGTTTCTCCATATAAGGAAAAGGGCATGATATTTAACAAATTCTTTTTTAAGGACATGCACATTTATCTGTTCAAATAATAAATACATAAACTGAATAATATATGAATAACAAAATACTCTGTACAAAGTAGGGCTTCAAATTTTCACAAAAACTGGATATAGAACTTACTAAAATTTACATATTTCATTTTACAATCTCTACAATTATATGAAATAGCTCTCTAAAGTCTTCCAAAAGCTTGCAAATATCAAATTAATTTCAACAGAGGAAGATTAATAAACTTTTCAAAGGCAAATTAATTTCTAAGCAAATCAACAGGACCTCTTAATAAAAAGAAATCAAGAACAGAAATCAAATATCTAAGTTTAGCAACATAAATTGCATAAAAAAACAATGAAGCAATATAAACACAAGGACACTTCAAAAACTTAGTAGAAAAATAGATTTGAAAGATGATGGAAATCTCTCTATGAACTTTATTGTTTGTTCAAATTTTTCCTTTTTTTTCCTTTAAAAAAAAGACTAATTTTAGAAAATATGTTCTCTGACCACAATAACATAAGGAAATTTAGAAAGCTCACAAATGTGTGGAAATTAAATAACAGTCTCCTAAATAAACAATGAGTAAAAAGAAAAATCACAGGGAAATTTGAGAGTATCTGAGATAAAGATCAAAGTGCAACGTATCAAAATTTATAGGAGGCAGGGCTCATGCAGTGCTTAGAAGAAAATTTATACTTGTAAACACCCATATTAAAAAATAAGAAAAATCCCCAAATCAGTAATATAAACTTCTACCTTAAGGAAATAGAAAATGTACAGCAAACTAAACAAAAAGCAAATATAAGTAGGAAATAATAAAGATTACGATGGAAATATATGAAACAGGGAATTAAAAACAGTATCTCTAGTCTCAAATCAACAAAACCAAAAGTTGATTCTTTGAAAAGATCAACAAAATTTGCAAACTTCTGTATAGACTGATGAAGAAAAAAGAGAGAAGATCAAAATTACCAAGATCAAAAATAAAATAGGGACATTATTACATTGTCACTATGGCTTTTTGTGGTGGCAAGATTTAGTTTCTCTTTCTTGTTTGCATTTTTGTTCTACCAGTGGGTTTTGTTCTTTCATGTGTATTCATGGTAGTGATTATCATTTTTTGGATTCCAGACACAGGACTTCCTTGAGTACTTTCTTGTAGGGCTGGTTATGTGGTGGTAAACTCCCATAGTTTTTGTTAGTCTGGAAAATACACTATTTTTCTCTCATTTCTGAAATATAGCCTTGCTGGGTATAGTCTTCTTGGCTGGCAGTTTTGTCTTTTTTAGGATTTTGAATATATCATCCCATTTTCTGACTTCTTTTTGTTTGTTTTGGCAGCTGGCCAGTGCACGGTTATCCCATTTTCTTCTGGCCTGTAGAGTTTCTGTTGAGAAATCTACTGTTAGTCTGATAGGGGCTCCCTTATAGGTGACTGACGCTTTTCTCTTGATTCTTTTAAGATTCCTTCTTTGTCTTTGAACTTTGCCAGTTTGACTATACTGTGCCTCGGAGAGGATCTTTTTGGGTTGAATCCATTTGAGGATATTTGAATATCCTGGATCTGAAAGTCTCTGTCTCTCCCTATACCTGGGAAGTTTTCTATTATTATTTCATTGAGTAGGTTTTCCATGCCTTCCCCTTTTTCCTCCCCTTCTAGAACACCCATGATCCAAATGTTTGTATGCTTAAGGTTGTCTGCTAGCTCTCTTAGATTTCCTTCATTTTCTAAAATTCTTTTTCCCTTTTTTTTTGTCCACCTGGGTTATTTCAAAAAGACTATCTTCAAGATCAGAAATTCTTTTATCTGCTTGTTCTAGCCTACTGCTTAAGATTTTAGTTGTGTTCACTTTGTTGAGTGAATCTTTCAGTTCCATGAGTTCTTCTACCTTCTTTTTTAAGGTATTAATTTCTTTGTAAATTTGCTCCTTAATATTCCAGCTTTTTTCCCCCTCTTGTTTTATTATATTGTCTAACTGAATCTTCTCAGATCTCAGTGAGTTTCCTTACAAGTGTTACTCAGAATTCCTTCTCAGCCATTTCAAGGGTTTCATGCTCTATGGGGTCTGGTATATGAGAATTACTGTATTCTTTTGGTGGTGTCATATTTTCTC